TCTTGCTAGCTAGCTTTGTTCTACTTGCCGTAATTTATGTAACTTCATTATCATGGAATAAATCATTTTGATATCCTGAAGTTTTCCTACATGGAAACACAAGCAAGAGGTAGATATACTTTGTTGGTTTATTTTGCAATATAATTTAAAGATATCCTTCCAGATGGTTTCTAAGTTTTAGACTTTATATAAAAATCAAGATTTTAGAATTTAATAGTATTTTATTCTAAAACTTAAAAATTTACTTACATTTTTGTTATATTCAATGATGGATCATTTGCTTTAAAAAAGGACATTAGGAAGCTTGCTTTCCTAGCCCACAGCTGCACCATCTAAACCTAAAGATGCTGAAAAAGAGGAAACTGAAATCTACTAAAAAAAAGTATAAACACGAAACAAAACATTTCTCAAGATTTATCTTTTCCTCGGCTTTATGATGTTAAAATCTTACCTTTCTGGGGCCTCTTCAAGTTGTGGCACCGTTTTGAGAATAATAATGTAGGGTTTAAAGAAAAGGGAACCGAGTATTTTAAATGTAGATGTGATGAGTTCATTAAAAGCCAAAAATTGATCATTACAGCCTTTCAAACGAGGAATGCAAAAGCCATTGAAGTACAGCTCAGGGAAGTGACTGCGCCCAACTGCCTGGAGACAGGCACAGGCCCCCATACAGCTGATGCCACTGAATGTCTGCTGGATGGAGAGTCAGCAAAAGGAATCACAGCAGTGCCACTTTCTAATGATACAGTAGCTTGTCATACTAAAGATTCAGCTGCAAACATGAAGGCTGAGTTAGCATCTTCTCTGCAGTATTGTACTTTTGTCTTACACATGGACAAGTCAAGAGAAGTGGCTAGACTCGCCGTTTTGCTTGTGTTCATGATATCAGCACCAGCTAATCCGGGAACTTCTTCTTCTTTTTTAAAAGATTTTATTTATTCATTAGAGAGAGAGAGAGCACAAGCAGAGGGGGCAGCAGGCAGAGGGAGAGGCAGAAGCAGACTACCCACCCTGAGCAGGGAGCTCAGTGAGAGGCTCCATCCCAAGACCCTAAGATCATGACCTGAGCGAAGGCAGATGCTTAACCGACTGAGCCACCCAGGCACTGCATCCCTGCACCGATCTTCTTTTATGTGAATGCTTGGAAACAAACTCAAATGGTGCTGAAACATTCACACTGTTGAACAATTATATTCACTCTCATGGCTGATCCCGGGGCAACTGTGTGGACGTTTGCACTGATGGTGCAAAAGCAACGTGGGGTCAAAGCGCCTTAGCCCGGGTCGAAGAAGGGACGCCAAAATGTCCTGGAAGTCATTGTATTTTTCACTGCCATGCGCTTGCAGTCAAATAATGGCCAGATTCACTTATCTTTGATGAAATCGTAAAAATTATCACCTTTTCTTTATTAAGTCTTTCCTCTTGAGTCCACATCTTTTTAATATTCTGCGTGACAAAATGGGAAGTAGGCACAAAGCACAGCTGCTGCAAATCAACGTCCAATGGTTGTCTTGGGGAAAAGCACTTCTGTAACCAAGCCGCAAGCTCACTAGTGCCTTTTCTATGAAACGCCGTGTTTATATTTGGCAGACACATTATTGAAAATGAGGCTGTCACTTCAAGGAAAATAACTGCAGGATTTGTTGCCAATGATAATATTTAAGCTTTCAAAAGGAAATTAGAATTTTGGGTAATTTATATCAACCTCCATGAGCTTGTCCACTTGCCAATTGAGATAGAATTTACATATCATGAAATTCACCCTTTTAGAGCGTATAATTCAGTGGTTTTTATAGATTCACAAAATTATGCAATGAGTATCTAGTTCCAGAACATCTTCATCACCCCAAAAGGATACCCTATTGGCAGTGCCCACTAGCAGTCACTCCCCATTCCCCCTCTCCTCCCAGCCTCTGGCAACCACCAATATGCCTTCTGTATTTATGGATTTGTCTAGTCTGGATATTTTATATAAATGGAATCACACAAGGATCATGTGATTTTTAAACACATTGTATGAAATATAAAAACATCTGGAAGATCTGTAAGACTCAGTGGACCAATATTTTCCAAATGACTAAAGCATTATGTTACAAAATCATTAATTGGGCAAAAGATTCATCCAAAGTGCAAGACAGATCAATGGCTTCTAATGTGAAGATTGTACAAAAAGTTCACTGATACCATGTCAGATTCCGCATTGCAACTAACCTTTAAGAAATACAAGTGTGTTGAGTTTTGGCACGGTATCAAATAAAAAATCTACAATTATCTGAAAAGATTATTAAAATACTCCTCCCCTTTCCAACTACATATTGGTATAAGGCTGAACTTTTCATGTATATCAATCAAAACCACATATCACAACACAATGAATGCAGAAGTAAAGATGAGAATCCAGCTGTCTTCTATGAAGCCAGATATAAAAGAAATCTACAAAAATGTAAAACAATGCCACTATTCTTTTTTAAAATATTTATTTATTTTTGAGCAAGAGAGCGTGCACAAGCTGGGGGAAGGGGCAGAGGGAGAAGCAGACTCCCTGCTGAGCAGGGAGCCAGATGGATGTGGGGCTCAATCCCAGAACCCTGGGATCATGATCAGAGTTGAAGGCAGATGCTTAACCGACTGAGCCCTAGATGGGTCTTTAAAAAAAAAAAAAAAAAAATGGTTGCGTAAATACCATACTTTATTTTATAGTTCCCTATTGATGGACATTTAAGTTGTTTCCAGTCTTTTATATAACAAACAACAAATCTAAAAATCTTTGTTCATTTGTCTCTGTTCATATGTAGGGAAAAATTTTAGAAATTCAATTGCTGGATGAAAAAGTGTGTACATTTCAAATTTAACAGCTGGACTTAGCACTTCTAACAGCCACCCTACGTGATTCTCTCTAGGTGGTTCAATGACCACATCTGGAAAGAAACTGTTGCAGGGGAAAGAACCACACAGCTAAACATCAGTTATATCTTAGGACTTTCCCCCTTTAAGGCCAAGAAAATAGAGATTTTACACAGAAACACACTGGCCATCTTTGAAGAGGACAAAATTTATTTCATCGTCTATAAATAAAAATGACTTAGATATGTGAGGGGAACACTATAAAGCACATGGTATAAATATACAATTAACCCTTTATAAGATCGCCAAAGAACTGTAAAGAATAACATCGTTTAAACAGAAAGGATTCATATATTTGCTGTAATTCCTCATGGCATTCTCTTTTATTCTACTGTCCACATGAATATTGCAAAGGAACTTCTGATTGGGTAGAAATCACCATTCCGTCAACGCAGAGAGTCAACGAACACCTGTATAAACCGCAGATCTACCTTGGGTATAACGGGAAAAAGTTCCGTTGATGATGCACAGCCAACAGCGTGAGCATCAAAACTCATTGGCTCTAGCACCGTTCAAAAAAATAATTTGGTGTTGTCTGAAAATGAGTCATGGAAGTCATGTAGTCAGTTTCAAAACACACGTTTCCTTGGTCTAGTTCTTTGACTGTACAGTAAATAGAGAGAGAGAGCATTTCCGCAGGATTTAAGAATACCTTTATCAAAATAGACATCTGGATTATTAAACAGCCGCCAAAACTGTAATGATAGCAAATAGGTCATTGTGTTGAACCAAACGGAGGCTGACATGCAATTTATTATCTATAACAATCTACAGGCGATTCTCGAGTCATTAGAGGTAATATTGAGTGTGTATACTAACCATGCTTTTGTTTCTCCTTTCCATTAGCTGCCTTTTATTATTATTGTGATTCTGGTGGCCCCTCTGATTATCTAACCCCTCCCACTAGGCATTAGAGCAGGAAATAATGGAGATGGAAGAAAATGGAGGCTTGTCCTTGTAATCCCTTGTTAACAGCTCCGAAGGGTTTGGTGGAGGAAAAGTCTGAAACTGTTGGCTGAAACAAAGCTTGGGGTAACACTCTGTGATTCTGATCGTTAGGACTATTCCTGCCTCTAATTACCAAGGATAATTAAGAATGGTCTGTGCTCACTTTAGATAAATTTGACCCAAGACGTTGGCAATGATATGAAAGGATTTGTGTGCGTGTGATGAACAAATTGTGAGTGGAAATTGAAATAGTTCTAAAATATGTGTAAACAAGTAAGGCAGCCAGAAATTTCCAAACGACTCTGGGGAAAGAACATTCTGCAGGCTGAAAACTATTTGGCTTAGAAAAAGAGAGATCTCAGATAAAGGAGGAGCATCATTTGATGTCATGGATTACAGTTATCTTGTGGATGAAATCAATCAAGAGACCAATTTTTAAAACCGTGTCAAGCTCAGGCAAACGAGTGGTCTATATAACAAGAGGCCCTGGAGAAGGGCTACCAGTTACCACGTACTCCAATGTCAGGTGCACAGACTTCTAGACTGAAGGCATTCCGTTTCTTATGCTTGCAACTTGATAGTCGCACATTTTGGATCAGTAACACACTTCACAGATGATTTAATTGCCAACTTTGCACACCAACCAGCAGTTCCTTCTCTGATTTATTTATTGGGCAGGAGAAACTCAGAAAAAAATTTTATAAACCCCAGATCATGCTCATAAGTGAAGAGGCTAATGATATGAATAAAAGGGCTTAAATCATAGCCCTTGATTCAATGTTTGCGTGACAAATACGACTTTTTGCTAAGGAAATCAGTATTATTTATCTAGGTTTTGAATTAAGATTCAGTTTATAACTAAATAATACTAAATTAGGATTGATGACAGATGCTTTTCTTAGAGGAAGATTGAAAAACTGTACCCCCTAGCTGCAGAATTCTTTCATAAAAATATAAACTGTGCTTCTTTCATTGTATTAAATGTATTACCTTTGAAATCAGAGTCTGCATTTACTTCTTCCACTAGTAGATCAAAGCCCCCTGTAACAAGTTCTGAAGGCTAATGAGATTTTTGTGCTTGAAACCCATTTATCTATAAGCTTTCCAGAAGCATTTAGATACATTATTTTCACCATACAAAGAGTAGATGAGTTTAAAAGATTTTATTCCTTGTCTTTGTTTCAAAAGCTGTATCTAAAACCTTAGTCCCAGTGGATGACCAGTGAGTGGTTTTCGTAAGGGCATTTCTACCAGTTATTTAACAGGCCGTCTCCGAAGGACATTGTCATCTCTGAAATGTATGGAGTCTTTCATTCCTTCCGGCATTGCTTCTCCCCAAACGGAAAGACAGTGCTGCTTTCAAATGCAGTCGTGACCATGGCATTTACAAATGACAGGGCAGGTTACCATACAAAGCGCTTCTCCACAATGTCACGGGCTCCTCACAGCAACCATGTGAGGTAGGCATGGGTACCCCGAAGAAATCTTACAGGAAACAGAACATGACGCTAAACGTGTGCACCATCCATGTATTTTTTTCTGGATTGTTCTATCATTTGAATACACGGCTGAATGAGTAAAAAGAGTATCCCTACCATGTAAAGTAAGCCACATATATAGAAGGAAAAATCATATTTTTCTGTGATGTCATAGATCCAGCCTGCAAAACAAAAAGGAATATGCTCAGTGTAACCTAGCTGATAAAAGTCAAGAACACAATTACTGTGACTGTAAATATTTCTACGAGAATTTATTTATATGTCATGTCATGCCCCAAATATTTCAGTTCGCCATTTTTAAGCCCAGGCTATATAAGCCAGAGTTTCTCAGTGCCTGAGAATGGCAGGCATTTATCTTCCAAGCTGCGAGGGTACCTTACAAAGTGCTTAAGGCATGGAAAGAGTAGCTGGCTGACCCTTGGGAGGATCTGGCTCCCAGCCCTCAGAGTCTCTCAGGCTGACACAAAGCCAACAGCGAAAAGAGAACCTAATGATTTTCTTTTTTCACAAATTTAACCACAAATCTTTTCTAAAAACCTTCAAAACTCTTCTGAAGAAGTTTCTAGGGTATATCAAAAGAGGCTGAGTAGAAGGCATTTGAACTTTCATTCACTGTGGAATATTTGAGAGTAAACATCTGTTCTAGAAAGAATAAAATTTTCCATGTTTTATAAAATTCACATTTACAGCTATAAGACTTTAATATTTCTATATACAAAGAACTTTAAATTGCCAAGGATATAGCCTTCAATGCTGACTAAATTATCAGTTTTTAATACTATAATCTAAAACTTTCATATAATAATCTTACTAGGCACTCTGGAAGATACTAGTATATTTCATGGATTCTAAGATATCATGAATTGCATGATGCCTCATTATCTTATGTAGCAACAAGAAAGAAATATCCTTGTCAATTAAAATATGACTCATTGTTTTCCTGGGACTTTGTAAAATGCATTCCAATTTCAGAGATGTTAAAATGTGAAAGAAAAGCCTCAGAAACTATGAAATGGATTAGACTTCAGTGATTAAATCTAAGCATCAGTCACATGTCACGGTCCCCACGTAGCCAAACCATGTGAACTGAGAGGATTAAGCCGTCCACAGGAATTTCATTTATGGTAAAAACACAAATTTTGAACATTCCCTTTTTTTCGTATCAACAAGTACATTCATTAGCAGACATAAGGAAAACAGGAATGATTTAAAGACCAAACGTAGTTTTCGTGACCACTTTTCAAAAAACATCTTTTAAAAAATATCTAACTGGCAAACGAATAATGCACAAACGCAACACAACCTTCTCTCACCAACAAATAGCTACACAAAAGCCACTGCTTTCCTCAAGCAGTACCTCTGATTTCCTGGCAATTGTCTGTCTTCTGCATTTCTGTCTGGTGCGTAATTAACGCACCTGGGTGAGTCAAAGGTCACAAAGAAAAACAAACACTTGACAGCATGAAACATTTATATATTGTAACCACTCAAAAGCTCTGGACTCCAGATACCCTTTAAAAGTTCACCAACATTTTTGAGTTTGTTTATTGTTTGATACACACAAAAGAAGAAAACACCCGGACTCCTGAGATGTAGCTTTAGTAAAATGCTCTATCAGTTTTTCCCAATCTCCGATTTGAGACAAGAGGAACAAGGGAGATGAACCGTCTAATCCAAAAAACAAAGACTCAGCTTCGGAACTGAATCAGAAAGGTGCTATGAACAAGAACGCACCCAACTTGGCTCAGGGTCACCACGGGACCACTGCACGCCTACCTCTTTCCCCTGCAGCCCCAAGCTTAACCATGAGCACAAGCCACAAGTTTTTGGAGTTTCAAACACATTTTCTCTTGGCTCCTTGTCTGTACATATACAGGTCCTCCTTCTGCGGGGGACAATAAGAAACACCATCCCCCTTAGCACACCCTAGCAACCCCTTCCCTCCACCCCATCCCCCCCTTGCCTCTGCAGACTTTGGAACATGCTAAGTAGATTATACGTTGTTGCGGTCGTTAACTGAGTTCATTATATTTTAAAATAGTTTCTTTCCTCTAAAAGTATAAATGTTTGTAAAAGGGTGTCTGTCCTCTCACTCCAGTCTTTAAAAGTAACTCAGGAACTCATGCGTCCATTTTTTAAAAAGTGCCCCCAACTTGACCACACAATTTCATAGGAAAGAATTGGGGGAAGTAATCCTAAATTTTATGTTAAATTAACCCCATAGGTTTTTCTAGTCTATCTTTCAGATTTATTTTTAAAAGACTTGGGATCTTGCCCCTTTTTCTTTGGTGCCTGTTTTAACATTTCTGCCAGTTTGAATTGAATCCATTCCTGCATCAGAGGCAAAGCAGGTCAGGAGAGACAGGACTTCACTCTGTGCTTTGATCCTCAGCACACATGGATATAACTCTTCGGAGAAATGATGTTTCTGACGAGCTACCCACCTCATTCATCCTTCACCACCTCTCCTTACAGATCTGATCTCGGTTCCTTGGTTCAGAGCCTGGCATCCTTGGCAACCCTGATCCAACCATCAATTCAAATCAGCAGCTTCCAAATAAAATCTGATTCCCTATTAAATTGCATTCACTTTTCCTTTGAGTCTGTCAAATGAGGAATGATGGCTGTTTTTCTTATTAAATAGATATTCCCAGCTTTTGATGACAAACCCTGCAAACTGTTGTTAGGGTGTTATATTTTAGGCAAAGAGGAGGTATGTGTGGATTCTTAGTCAAATCTGGTGGCCACGTTTTGTTATATTTTACACTGGAAACGTCTAGAAAAGTTTGCACCATTATTACATCTTTACAGGAGAAGAACTGAATACCCAACAATATTACAAATGAACTAGATCAAGAAGTTCACGTTGCTAAATGACACAGCTGCAATGTCTGTTCGCTATCTGATTGTATATTCTTCTCCTAAATGGAACTGATTGTCTAACACGCTAGTAAATGGCACCAGATTTCTTAATGCCAGTAGAAGCCACTTTGAAAAATGGAAAACACATTCGTTTCTGAACCCATTAAAAAAGAAAAAGGTAATGTGAACAATAATCTTCCCCGCAGCAAACCCTGCAGGTAATAATTCCTAGCCCACCTTGAGTTTCTAGCAAGAACGTAATGTGGCAATTTGGTCACTCATACTGCCAGTCACTTCTGAACTATGAGGCGTAAAAGGCCGGGCCTGAATCTCATTGCAATGTTGGCTCTTTGGCCTGGAAAGTCAATGAATTAAACGCAACGCAGTTAGTCCATGGTGCCGTTCAGCATTCTTCCGGTGCGTGACTTCAGTGCAAGGAGAAGAAACAAACGAACGAACAGAAGGAGAGTCCCCCGAGGTTGCTGGCCTAGAGACGCACAGCACAACATGGATTTTCTAGTCCCCATGGCAGCCTTTGCCATCCATTCATAGACGGTTCCTAACCGTTAATACAACGGCTTCTACCATCCACGGTGGATGACATTCAGCTCTAGACCCGCTTTGAGGGAGGAAGCTTGAAGCAGGCAGGGGTAACCCCTGATGACTGGGGGCCGGGGATAACTCCCCGCTTCTCATTCTAATTCCCTTCTCTTCCACTCCAAAACGTGCACTGGAATGCTATCCTGCGAGAAGGATGTGACATGCGAATGAGATAGAGAGGCCATGCCAGCCAACTTTGGTACTTTAACGAACATTCATCGTGAATTGCTTAAGCCGCACCTCACAGCTGTGTTATGATGCTGCTACTGAAATCTGGTAGATCAGTGTAAAAATAACCCCAGGCAGACCGTTAGAAGTAGAAAGTACGCCTGGATCACGGAAAGAACCAACAATGACAGATTCCATTCCCACAGACGATACAGCTGAAGAACCTTCAACAAGAGAGTGGATGAGCCACTGATCATGTCCACATCCCCTTAATGGATATTTCAGTTTACCATCTCTGGAAGGTACCATTGGTTGCCTGACCCAACCCCCAATCTCCATTCTTTTCTCTTTTCCTTCCTCTAGTACAGAGGCTAGGAAGCAAAATACAGTTCCCCCTGAAGCTTGAACTAGCTGTGTGACACAGTTCTGGCCAATCAGATGAAAATGGAAGTCGGCTGAAACTGAGCCTTTCTTCCATTTTCCTCCTTGGTATAAATGAGGATGTGGGGCTGGAGCAGCAGCAGCCATTGTGTGGCCGTGAGGCAACTAGCATGAGGAAAAAGCCAGGAGGATCTTGGAGACACTGTCCCAATACCATCTGGTATCTCTGAATTATAGATTTTGGCCTATGTGACACTATTAAATCTCTGCTTAAGCTACCATTGGTGGGATGTTCTCCTACAGCCAAATGGATCCCTGAGAGAGAATTCTACACGAGACTACTGAGTTCCGACTTTACAGCTGCCAATGTAGTTTGCTGCACTGCGATAGTTATTCACTGTCATGTAGAAATGCTGTGCCTGCCTCTGTGCACAGGTGGCCACTGGGTTTCCTAAAGTGAGTCTTAGTTCTTAATCCTTTAGTCAGCCAACTGCCAGTGTTGTCAGCTGTATAGGCAAAAAGCCATGATGTCTTGAACTTCAAATTCTGTGGGGGACTTGAAAGTAAATGTGTTGAAACAAGCCTTCTGCCAGTGGGGTCTTAGGATGGGAGATGACTCTATGATCCCTAGAGAGACCGGGAAGGAAGGGGCAGGGAGGGCTTTGTCCTGCACCCCTGGGGTTCCCTGGAGGAGGTATTCCTGCAGAGGATATGAGAATAAATGGCCAGGAGGAGCCAGACGAGCAGGGAGTGCGGGCATCTGAACAGGTGAGGCTCTTCGGAGTCAGCTTACAACACTGCACAAAACCTCTGTCAGCTGGGACAACAGCCACTGGTCCTGGCCTGGCAGCCCGGATGGCCACCTCGGGACAGCACCTTTGCGTTGATGTTTGGCACCAGCCCAGGCCACACTATGTGGACTCCTGCCTCCAGTCTTCGGACAGAGGCTGGGCCTTGTCACCTTCGTCCAGTACCTGGCCTCTTGGAGATTAAGTCTACCTGCTGATCCTGATGTGTTTTTCCACAAACACCAGGTTCAGAGAGGTTCTGGCTTCCACAGGACCCCTCGGTACCTGGGATTTCTGGTATGCCCATTGCAAGAAGCAAGTTCTCCATTGAACTGAGGTGAACACTTGTGAGAGAGCTTGCCCGGGATGTTGTCACCTGGTGGGCTCTGGGCCTCTGGTGTGCAGAATGCCCCAGCCCTCCCCAGCTGCTCACATCCTAATCCCCGGAACCTGTGAATGTTACGTTACGTGGCAAAGGAGACTCTGCAGATGTGATTGAGTTAAGGACCTTGCGATGGGGGGTCATCATGCATTGTCCCGCAGACCGAATGTAACCCAGGTATCTTTATCAGTGAAAGAAGAAAGTGGGAGAGTCAGAGTCAGAGAGAGGTCTGTGACCACTGCTGTGTCACTGGCTTAGAAGATGCCAGAAGGGGCTAGGAACCACAGATGCAGGCAGTCTGAAGCTGTAAAAGGCAAAAAAGTAAAATAAAATAAAAAATTTAAAAAAGGGATTCCTTCATAGAGCCTGCAGAAAGAACGCAGTTCTGCTTACACCTCGATTTTAGTCCTTTGTGATCCAATTCAGCCTCCTGACCTCTAGAACTAGAAGATTATAAATCTGTATTGTTTTAAGCCCCTGCATTTGTGGCATTTACTATAGCAGGGACAAGACATTGCTATGGGGCTAGATCCAGCTCATAGATGTGTTGTGTGGGACCGACACGCAGTGTTTTAAAGATCTGGAAATGTTACGGTTATCAGGGTGAGCAATTCATTATGTACATAATTGTTGAAGCACTATGTGGTACACCTGAAATTAATGTAATGTACGTCAACTATATTCAATTAAAATTTAATTTAATTTAATTTAATTTAAAAAATCTGGAAATGTCCCCCAAGAGCCCAGAGTTCCTAGGTTTTTCTTGGGGGGAGAAACCCCTAACAATAGAGGATCTGGTAATAATTTTCCATGTTTCTTGGTGACAGAAATCAGCTGGAGGTGGGTAGAAGCTGCCTCCTCCCGACGGGGTAGGGGTTCTGCACTATTCCGTTACCCACTTTGCTAACCTGGCCAACTTACCTTGCAGATAGAGATGAAAGGTTCATCTAGGTTCTGCTTGAAAGAATGACCATTACCTTGCTAACATTTACAAATGAGAAGTTGGGGGAGCAGAATGGGAAGAAAAGGAGCATGTACACAAATGGGAACATCTTTCTTATTTGTCTTGGACTTCAACATATAAATGAGAACACAACCTCACTCTCCACCTGTACTCTAAGCTCTTAAAACCTCGTATGGTTTACCTGCGAAGGGTGGTCCCAGCAGCGCAGAGATGCCATTGGCACAGATGATGATCCCGTAGGCGTTGGCCAGGTGCTCAATCCCCACCAAGTCTTCAGTCACCACGGGCATGAGGGAGAAATAACCACTGGAAAAGCCTATCAGTGCGCAGATGACGGCCAGGCCAGCGTAGGTGTGCATCAGTGGGAGAATAAAAATACTGAGGACAAGGGTGAAGTTGGCCATCAGGAAGACATTCCAAACGCTGATGCAAGGTAAGTCGGCCACAATGCCCAGGATCACTTTTGCAAAGATATGCACTATTGCTATAATTGAAGTCAGAGGGAAAACATCGTTTTGCTCCGATAAATGATACAAATTGACGATTTCCGGGAGGTGGATGAAAGGGATGACAAAGCTGCTGTATGCAAACAGAGCCCAGAAAATAAAGGCGACAAACATTCGATTGGTAAAGAGCGAGGCTGTGCCAAAGTAGCCCGAGTACCAGTCCCGGAAGCCCCTCCTGACTCTCACGGTCAGCTGGCTGGCGGTCTTGAGAACCCGGAGGGCGCACAGGTTCTGCGTGCGCTCGGCCTTCTCCGGGCCCGCCTGGGCGGGGAGGTCACCCCCCGGCTGCTCCTTGTTCCCGGGCCCCGCACAGTTCTCTTCCGCTCCACCCGGCGGCCCACTTGACTTCGACCCAGGGGAGGGAGCCAGCACGACCTGCGGATCTTTCCCTCCCGCGTCGTTCCGGTCCTTCCCGGGAGAGAGGGGCCTCATGAGCGCCCCGCAGACACACAGGTTTAAGGACACGGCGCCTTGGATGAACATTGCATTCCGCCATCCGTACTCCGCGCACAGGTACTTGAGCAACACCGTCATGAGGAAGGTGCCGAACCCCGTCCCGGTGGTGCTGAGGCCCTGGGCAAGGGCGCGTCTCTTCTGGAAGTACCTCCCCACCATGACCACGGCCGGCAGGTAGGCCATGCCGCTTCCAAAGCCTGCGCGGGTTGGATGGGAAGAAAAAACCCACGGCACAACGTAAATGGCCATATCCAGAATTTGCAGCCCGTAAAGGTCATGGGCATTTCATTATATTCGTTTCTGTGTTTTTTGTTTTGTTGTTGTTGTTGTTGTTGTTGTTTTTAACACAAAGAAATAACGTTTGTGAAAAAGGCAGCTCGGTGGGTAAGCACCGTCAGGGTCATCCACGGAAAGCTTCCAGCCCATCATTTCCCTCCAACACGGGCTACACCAATAATAAAATAAGCCAGCATCCGCACACCGTAATATCAGAATGAATGAATGGATGAGAAGGTAGATGAATGGAAGAATGAATGGATGTTGGGGCCCTGCTGTCAGTGCTAATTGCATTGAGTGCCCAGGACAGTTATTTTTCTACCAGCGGATGGAGAGCAATTCCAGGCAATTTGCAGAAGCCTCAGGAATGAGTCCATTTGTTCACAAATTAATAGGAAGAAGAAAAGGAAGGTACCTATAAATATACCCAGCGACTGGATGTCAAAACCACCTAATACTAATTTGTAGCTCTGATTTTCACTTGTGTTTTTCTTAGAAAATTGGAACAGTTTGTGATTTCCATCGACAAAATTAAAATGCTGGTGGGGTAGACGGTGTGCGTTGGGGGCAGGGGGCATAACAGAACTCTCTGTACTTGTTCTCAATTTTGCCGTGAACCTAAAACTGCTCTGAAAAACATGAAACCTATTTTTTTTTTTTAGATTTTATTTATTTATTCATGAGAGACAGAGAGAGGCAGAGGGAGAAGCAGGCTCCCAAGGAGCAGGGAGCCCGATGTGGGACTCGATCCCAGGACCCTGGGATCACGACCTGAGCCAAAGGCAGACGCTTAACCATCTGAGCCACCCAGGTGCCCCATGAAACCTATTTTTTAAAAAAGACAGGAAATAAAATAAAATAAAAAGCTGCCCAAGATGTTGTGGGTTGCATTCTCAACTTCTAGGTACAGAGGGAAACCAAAAGACCCACTTTAATGATCATGGGGCCCCATATGGTTCTAATACTTAAGACTTCCTGACATTAGGACGGCAGCATGATAATACAAAAGAGACTTTGACCAATGTTGTTTCCCAGAGCCGAAGCCTCCTTAGTTCAGCATCATTGAATAGTTTCAGAAATACTTGATTTTGAAAGGAGACCAGAGTAATCGTACATACAATTATAATACTAATTACCATTAATTGAGTACCAGTGATGGGCCAGTTGCTTTATAGGCTTTATGTGATTGGGTTTTCACAATAACCCAGAAGTTAGCTGTGGCTCTACTTTTTTTTTTTAAGTTTTATTTATTTAAATAATCTCTACACCCGATGTGGGGTTTGAACTGGCAACTCGGAGATCAAGAGTCGCATGCTCTTCGGACTGAGCCAGCCAGGCATCCCTCTGCCTTTTTTCTGAACCTCGTGAAGAGTTAAGTAACTTTCCCAAGATGCTGTTGCAGGAAACTGGAGAATCCGGGGTGGAACTCAGACCCAACTGCACAGCCTGGGCCTTTGCCACTGCTCACTGCCTCTCACCCTAAACCGCTCATCCCCCTGGCTGCTGGCAGGTAGGATTTTGAAGAAGGATTTTGCTTCAGCCTGGGCTTCTAAAAGAAGCCTCCAGAAGCAACCCACCTCCTTTATTTACCTGAGAGCAGTGATATTTACAGCAACTGTCAGAAGTCAATGATCCTCAACCAGTCTTCAGGTGGATACCCTTGTTTTAAGAACAATTAAGCTAGCTTCTAAGTGATTCCCAGCAGAAGTGGGGGCAGGTCCCCAAGCCCCTTTGCAAGCCTCAGTGAGGGTAATAATTATTTGCATTATGGGAGAAATGAGCATGAAGAAAACAGCTATCCTTAATTTTGACTAAACTCTGGATTACTCTTTATGACGTTTAAGTCCACAAAAAAAACAGAATTTCTCATTTCCTAATATTCAAAGAGGCAGAGAAAAATATTTAATAGCCTATAAACACACTCCCTCCTCCCTCTAATTGTAAAGCAAATCTCCTGTACATCATTTCAAGTGCAAATATTTTAGTATAAATCTCTAGTAGAAGAATTCTTTAAATAGCATAATGATTAAACAGCATACTGATAAAATAAACAATTCCTTGATATCATGAAATATCCAGAAGGTGTTCAAATTTCTAATTGTCTCATAAATGACTATATTTTTAAAAAACTGTCTCTTTAATCAGGAACCAAATAAGGCCCACACAGTGCTACTTGTTGATATGAATCTTAAGTCTCTTTAAATTTCTATTTTTTTCTTGAAATTTATTTGTTGAGGAAACTGGGTCATTTGTCCTGTGAAATTTGTCATTGTCTGGATTTTGCTGAGAGCAGAAGTTTAATTTTTTAAAAAACTTGATTTGTTACTGACAATAGCCAACATCCTAAATTTAATGTGGTTATAGATTTCTAAACAACAGTGGAATAAAATGATTACTAGGAACAGAACCGAGGTACCTAAGCCTAAGAGCAGCACTAATTCTAACTTAGTGTGAATAATAAACAATCCCATGTGTGAGGAAAAAAGAAATCCATGCCCAATGATACAAGTATCCATTTCTCTGTTACACCATCCATGCCCTTAACAGCATCCCCTCCTTCCTCACATGGCTTTGCTGTCTATTATGGGCACAATTATTCCATGAGCTTGTAGGTCAGGCCTTGGGATATGTGGTTCGAACCCAGTGGTCAGTCAAGGCCCTGCTAATGTCCAGCCCTGGGCAGGATCCTGGAATAATTCTTCACCACATGCCGGTTTAGAGGAGGGTTTACAGCCCTCCCAACCAGGTGGAGGAAAGAGGCCCAGATGGGGAGAGAAAATCCTGTGATCCTGGGTCAGTGTGGGTAGGGGAAAAGGTGTCTTCAGGAGACAGGCTTAAGAAAATGCAGCTCTGGTAAGGCTGAAGAAATTTGGTCCAGACTCCCCTGGCTAAGTAAGTTTGCTCAAACAGACATTATTTTTCTGCTTAATAGGAGGATACTCCTACACAGTTTTAATTGTCTAGGTGTTTTTTAAAAAAAGAGAGACAGATACAAATAAATCTGTCTCAAATGCTTTTTGGAAGGAAGAAGGATATCAATAAAGTTTTTTTCCAAATATACATTGTACAGTGAAATGTATCTCTCAAGTGCTTGCTTTTTTAGATTTTCCCATCTTTCTTTTCTGTTAAATAGGGGCTAGATTGCCAGTCAGCTTCCACAGGCCTCCCTGATGACAGCCCAGGATTTTGCCTGTATAAGCTAACTGACTTAGCTGGATTTTCCAGTTACATATAGTTAGATACATGTTTGTGGGGGATGTGATACATTTATTTTCCAAGACTTTCTTTGGGCTTTTCCTGTATAAAAAGTGGGAGCAATAAAGTGTCTCAAGACACACTTCCCCTTCAGCAGCCCCCTGATCTTCCTCCTACTTTCTTGGGTCCAGAAATATTTGTTAAATAAGTGAATGAATATGGAAATAATAAAATGGGACGCCTGGGTGGCGCAGTCAGTTAAGCGTCTGCCTTCAGCTCAGGTTATGATCCCAGGGTCCTGGGATGGAGGCCCGCATCGGGCTCCCTGCTCAGCAGGAAGCCTGCTTCTCCCTCTGCCTGCTGCTCCCCCCTGCTTGTGCTCTCTCTCTCTCTGACAAATAAATAATAAAATCTTTTAAAAAAAATATGGGAACAATATTAATGGCAGGTCAATAAGCAATTAACTGCAAGGAATAAAGTTCATGTAAACAAAGAATCTAATCATAGAGATCTCTAAATGACGAGAATTAATCTTAAGTCCCAGTTTGTAGGATCAAGTCAGTCTGTATAATGAACCACCACCGCATCCAGTTCACAGGGGTGCCACGTGTCTGCCTGGGGACCCCAGTGTGGCTCCTTAGGCTTAGCAGGAGTGTTTATTTCCTCACCTATAATATAAAAACCCCAGTGCTGGCTGTCTTCATTGGAGTGTTTGGGGGAAAGTTTCTAAAACACTCAGGGGAAATATCTTAAGTTATTCTTTTTTTTTTTTTTTAAAGATTTTATTTATTTATTTGAGACAGAGAGAATGAGAGAGAGAGAGCACATGAGAGGGAGGAGGGTCAGAGGGAGAAGCAGACTCCCCGACGAGCAGGGAGCCCGATGCAGGACTCGATCCCGGGACTCCAGGATCATGACCTGAGCCAAAGGCAGTTGCTTAACCAACTGAGCCACCCAGGCGCCCATCTTAAGTTATTCTTTAAGAACTGTTACCAAGTCCTTCAGATCAATGGTTTTCAAACTATGCTTCAAAGGACATAGAAGTGCTTTATGTGTAGATGTGGATCGATGTAAATTACAGAGAACCAACTTGCCAACTTTTTGGAGAGTAGGTGTTTGTGTTCACAGTCTCCTGCTGTCATAAAGCATGCGCTTAAGCTCATAATAAGAATGTTACATTAATATAACAATTACATATTAGCTAACACTAAGGACTCTATTGTGTGACAAGCATTGTGCTAAGTGCTTTATACAGATGATCTCCTAATCATTTCAACAACTCTCTAAACCAAGCATTCTTCATGACCCCATTTTGCAGATAGGGAAACTGAGGCATAAGTAGGTTAAGTAGTTTGCCCAAAGTCACACAGATAATAAGTGAAAAAAAAAAAAGGGCAAGATTTCCAAATTCTAACTTTTACTTCTTATATCAACACTTCTGTCAATGTGTCATTTATTAGGATGGTAGCTCTGTACTCAGAAAGTCAGGCTGGATCTGATTTACTGCAATACAATTGTACAAGTGAGAAACTACTTCTTATCTGTGTGAATTCTGCTTCCTGTTGATAAAGGAAATTATAGCTGGGAATGTATTTTGCAGACTGGATATGTAAACCATGCTGCCTGGTAGCCAATTTTTACCTACTCGCTGGGGGAGTGACATGCTCTGCTCTAGATTTGCTTCTTAAGAGTCTAGATATATTGGATTTTGCTGCTATTTCATTCATTTGAATAGGGCTGAAGGAGAAAATTATTATTCTATGATTCATGCTCCATTCTGCAGTTATTAAATGAGAGAATGTTCTTAGTTTTCTTAATATTTAGTCTATTCACCTACGTCTGTATTATTACTTTCCTTTTCCTATTCTTCATAAGAGAGAAGACTAGCACTTGGAACAAATCATGAAAAATTTAATTAAATTCTAATAGGAAGGCCAAGTACACTTGTTAGGTTGTTTTTCCACGCTTAAGGCGTATATAATATCTTATATTAAAAAGTATTTCCTGGAGTATATGGTGGGGTGGGGTGGAGGAAAAGAAGGACAAACTATGGGACGCCCAGGTGGCTCCGTGGGTTAAGCGTCTGCCTTTAGCTCAGGTCGTGATCCCAGGTTCCTGGGATCAGGGCCCGCAGCACCAGGCTCCATGTTCAGCAGGGAGTCTGCTTCTCCCTCTCCCTCTGCACCTCCCTCCCTAGCCCCCCCCGCGGCTTGTGCTCTCTCGCACGCTCTCTCAAATAAAGAAAATCTTTTAAAAAAAGGACAAAATATTTTAATGGGTTTCTTTTCTCCACAATTATTCGTGGTCAAAATGCCCAACAAATATATTTAAAATTAAGATTAAAAAAAATCAATATGCTTACCAGCTGTCACTCCAAAGGTAATAAAGAGATAATGCACGTTTGCAGCGTAGGCGCTCAGTACCCAACCGAGCGAGTTCACCAGCCCTCCGATTATTGCGGTCCGGCGACACCCACAGGTGTTAATAAACAAGCCGATGAAAGGTCCTGTCTCGGAACATTGAAAAGGGAATTGACTGATGGTGTTTTCTTTTCATGCTTTCTTCGCAAATCCTCACATGAAGACAAAGAATAAAACATTACTAGGGCTATTAAATAAAATGAACCCAAACCCCCATTGCTTTATATGCAAAAAGCTTTTAGCATGCAAAGATGGGTTTCAGTAATTTCACTGGAGAGCACAAAGTTCTAGGTTTTCAAGAAAGGCAGACCTGAAATAAATAGACAAATGAGTTAGTTCGTTCTCCTGTCTACAACACAGGTAGGTCCTAAACTAGCGGTCTATGGGCTTATTCAGCCTGTGGATGCATTTTGTTTATCCAGAACATAGTTTAAAAGATGTTTTGGGGTGCCAGGGTGGCTCAGTTGGTTGGGTGTCTGCCTTTAGCTCAGGTCATGATCCCGGGGTCTTGGGATGGAGCCCCGCTCAGCAGGGAGCCTGCTTCCCCCTCTCCCTCTGCCTGCCGCTCCCCACCGCTCCTGCTCTCTCTCGCTCTTTCTGAAATAAATAAATAAAATCTTTAAAAGTTGTTTTGAATCAGTTGCCAGCATTTAAAAATTAAGAACATTCACAAGAAATCCAATGGCAACACAGAATCCAGCAGGTTCCCACACAGCCAAGATGGGCTGGAGCTGTGCTGCGGCTCATTTACATTACTTGTTATTTGAGTTTTTGACTCCAGACCTAAGGGGAGTAAAGAAGGGGGTTCTCAGGACTGCCATGCTTCCAAAGAACTGATAGCTTATTTTCATGAGGACACCTGGATGCAAACCGTGTTGAAAAGAACTTCTCATAGCTTTATATGTACTTCAGCCCCTGCCGACTCTCAGTCCCAAGCTGGCCCCACCAGGCTATGCATTTTATTGACACTGTGGAGATTCAGGAATACGCTTCAGTCCGCAGTGGGTGCCATGCTCACAGCAATATAGTATCATATGACATACATCCTGGCTACTTACTTTCCTATGACGCTCTGGTTTTTGTCAAACCTCTTTGTTTTCTTCCTGATATTTACTTATTTATTTATTTATTCATTTATTCATGCATGCATTCAATCATTCATTCTTTATTTTTATTAGGAGGTTCCATGTCCAGCATGGAGCCCAATGCGGGGACCACCCTGAGATTAAGACCTGAGCTGAGATCAAGAGCGGGATACTGAACCAACTAAGCCACCCAGGCACCCCTGTGGTAACTTCTGATGTCACAGAAGCTTAATGCTTGCCTTGTGATCCATGATTCCCTGTGCAAAAAGCAATCTGTATTTTAGCAATACAGTAGGAGGCTGTCATCAATATTCAGTAAGATGGCACATTTTAAAAATCATCTTATTTTTGATCATTGTTACTTTTCATAGTTATGAAACCCTATATTCTGGTGAGACTATTTCATGTTAAAAATCTGTTAAACTCTAAGGAGCTTCCCCTTTTAGTTCAAACTGAAATTAAAATTTCCTTTAAAGTTCTAACTATATTCATGTACATATTTGGATGTACAGTTTGCTAATGAGTTTTTTTCCTTGTCTAATGAATTTGAGCGGGCCTAATCCTAAAAGTTGTGAAGCTAATGATTTATTAATTTAATTAACCATGGTGCATTACAGAAAATAACTCAGCAGATAAACCTCTTAGAATAGACAATATAGTAATTATATTTTACATAAATATACTGTTATATATTATAAAATAAGCACATGATATAAATAATACATAAACCAAACACATTGATATAAACATCTGAGGGAATTATTGGGGGCAACTGAAATTCTGAAACCATAAGTTGAAGATGTGTCTTTGATTTCTTCACAAATATTTATTTATTTTTCTTTTATTTATTTATTTTAAAGATTTTATGTATTTATTTGTCAGAGAGAAAGAGAGAGAGAGCATAAGCAGGAGGGAGGGGCAGAGGGAGAAGCAGACTCCCCGCCCAGCAGGGAGCCTGATGCGGGGCTCGATCCCAGGACCCTGGGATCATGACGTGAGCTGAAGGCAGACACTTAACCGAATGAGTCACCTAGGTGTCCCACAAATATTTTTTTAAAAAAGATTTATTTATTTATTTGAGAAAGAGAGCATGTGTGTGAGTGGGGGGAGGGGCAGAGAGAGAGAGAGAGAGACTCTCAAGCAGACTCCCCGCTGAGCCTGGAGCCTGAGGCCTGGCTCGATCCCAGGACCCTGAGATCATGACCTGAGCCCAAATCAAGAGTCAGATGCTTAACCAACTGAGCCACCTGGGCGCCCCACAAAGATTTTTATTTTCCTAAACCCATAGTCACTTCACTACTCGAATCTCAGATGAGTGGATAAACAAAGAGAAAAAGGCACAACTCATCGGTCCGCTGTTAATTGGCCCTTTAAGCTATGACAGGTCACCAGATCGCAGTTCAGGAGCATGATCATGTTTTCCATGTAACAAAAAGGGCCCAGAAGCAAGTGTTTCTGTGATACTGTATATTTCGGAAACACCGCATTCAGAAAACATTTGGGGAGAAAGGAGGGAGGTGGATTTCCCACGTAGGAGCAGATATTCGTCTGGAGAGACGTTGTATATCAAAGAGAAAGGATGAATTGTTTTACTGATAAGAAGTAAGTTGATAACAGTGTCTGGCTTTTCAGTTCATCATCTCTCACGTGGCAGAGCTGCCGTCCTGTACGACTCGCAGATGGGCAACGCCAGCCCGGGAAATGCTGTGACCCCTCCATGGCCACAAAACACGGATAGGTCAGAATAAGGAAGTCGGACCCAAGCTGCTGATGCTCAGCTGGCATCTCCGAGACCAAATTCGCGTTTTGCCAGAATGAAACGAACTCCCTACATGGTCTAAGGACAAGGGGCGAAGGAGGTGGAGGAGGGACAGTTGTCTGGCTATATGATTCCCACTTTTGTGGAGGAATTCAGTGTTCTGGGATGAGACGCACACTTTCTCCTCTGCAGAAGGGATCTGATTCTGGCCCATTTCCCACATAATAAAGGAATAATAATTTCTTGATGGTTCCTGCATCTCATCGGTTCACAAAAGTTCAGGTGAGGAGAGAAACTATCTGAGGCGACCTTGGCACACAGTCAAGGATGAAAGAAGGTTCATCGAACTCCTGGCTTCCTGGGCTAACCCTTCACTGCAGTAAGGAGTTCAGAGCCTCTAAACCAATGACTCACTGCCTTGGCTGAGCATTGGAGTCACTTAGGAGCTTAAAAAAAAAATCCTGATGTTCGGATCCCATCCCAAGAGATTTTGATTTGATGGTCTAGGTGCAGCATGAGCGACAGGGTTTTTAAAAGCTTCCCAGGTGGATCTGATGTGTAGCCAGGATTGGCAACCACTGTTCTAACTCTACTTAGCAAGACAGCGACCTTTTGCAGCCCGTAGATTCCCCTAAGGTGGCTTCCACGAAGAATTCTTCCGAGGGCTGTCACCAAGGCTGCTGTAAATACGACTGAGGCAATTACGTTTTGTTAAAAATTGGGACCTTTGGCAGGTAACTGGCAAAGTCCGGGCTAGCAAAGAATGAAACAAGAATGAAATTATCGAGTTTCCTACATGCAAGCCACTGCCCAAGAGAGGGATGGCTTTCAACTCTGTAACGTAATTCACGGATTTTTTTTTTTTTTAATTTAAAAGAGAAAACCTAAATAGGTTCACAATGATTGGAAAATGAGAACAATTTCTATTTATTCACTTCACACATATTTTCAGTTCTCATCTGAGGTAGTGGCAGGCAGTATGGTAATAGTAGACACAATTTTGAGTCCAGTGGACCAGCTTTGAAGCCTCTCTCATGCTTATCGGCTGTTCAACCTCCAGTAAGTTACTTAAACTCTGTGAACATTGCATCTTCTTCCTCAGACAGAGTTCTTCCTGGTGCTAGTGTTGTTGCGGGATCTAAATGAGATTGTGTACATAACGTGCACATGGCATATGGTAAGTGGCAAATAAAGGAGAGCTGTTCTTGCGGGCTTCTGGCTTGGAAAACACCCAACAGACCTGCAGCCGCCCTGTATCAGGCAGCTTAAGATAACTAACAGCAATTTAGGGTCACGATAAGATAAAAGACCTTTTATTTATATAACTATGAGCCTTGCTGTGTTATGATTCCCAAGACACAAGATATTTATCCAGCAGGTGCCTTTCCTGTTGAAAGGTTAGTCTACAAGCTGAAATGACACTGTCTGGGATTCATGGACTCTCAAACAGAATTCTGGATATATAGTTACCTCCCAACTAAATTAAAGAGGACAATCACATTTCACCATCGCTATGAGTTAGGTGTTCTTATTTTGGGGGTCATATTCAAAATCATTGCCAATAATTTCAGGACTGCTTCCCACTGCTTATTTTTGTAGAGCTTGTGAAACACAAAATAACATCTAAGACAACCTCACTGGATGATTCAGAAAATAATGGGACTTTTCCTATCCTGGCCTTTCGCTGAGTCTTTTTTGTGGTAGACACATACTTCCTAGATTGAATCTGTAAGTATTTTGTTCTACCCCTTAAAGATTTTTTTTTTTTAAGATTTTATTTGTAAGTAATCTCTATACCCAATGTGGGGCTCGAACTCATAACCCCAAGATCAAGAGTCGCATGGTCCATGGACTCAACCAGCCAGGCTCCCCTTAAAGATTTATTTTTAAAAAGGTAAAAATCGGATGCCTGGGTCGCTCAGTTGGTTAAGCGTCTGGCTTCCGGCTTGGGTGGCGATCCCAGAGTCCTGGAGTCGGCTTCTCCCTCTCCCTCCGCCCCTCCCCTGACTTGTGCTCTGCTCTCTCTTGCTCACTCTGTCTCAAATAAATGAATAAAATCTTTAAAAAAAGGTAAAAAACCTGGATGTTAGGTATTCTAGAAGCACAGTTTTCCTTCACTGACTTATTGAGAAGGTTGAATCACATCCAACATAAAACTAACACATTGCCTACACTGAAGTAAAACTTCCTGTATTTTAACTACAATATCCTAGTTTTAACAAAGCCAATGTAGGGTTGAAGGAGTCAGTTGTTTAATGTTGCAGGCAAGATGATTTACCAGCAATTCCCTCACACATGTAATGGTGTCCTTATGTAATTTTAAAACTAGATTACTATTAATTCCCTTCGATAAACACACATACTCCACACACATCTTGAGAAATAATACTTTGTCCTTGTTTTCGATCATTAGCACTACCACCGTTATTAATGTTGTTTGTATTATCCAAAATAACATTGACTGAGTGCCAGCCAAGATCAACAAATCTTGGAATTGGATTCAAGAAGTTAATTACCAATGTGGAAATCACTGAAAAGGGAGACTCCCATCAAACTTTTGTACAGATGTCTGTCATACACAAACTCTCACAGAACCGGAAGAAGATTTGAGGCAATTTATGTTTCCAGTGTAATTTCCTGAATACTTGAAATAAAAAAAAATTTGATGTAGGGGTGCCTGTTTGGCTCAGCCGGTTAAGCGTTGGACTCTTGGTTTTGGCTCAGGTCATGATTTCAGGGTTCTGAGATCCAGCCTGGAGTGGGGCTCTGTGCTGGGAGTGGAGCCTGCTTGAGATTCTCTCTGCCCCTCCCCCACCCCCTGCTTGTGCGCGTGCTCTCTCTAAAATAATAAATAAAAATAAATGTAAAAAAAATTCGATGTAAAAGTATGGCTTTTACTTTCAAGAGATAATGTAAGGGAAAACACCTGGTGTATAATAGATGCTTATTAAATATTAGTTGACAGTAAAAATTGTTTAGTTCCCAAAAGGAAACACATAGGCCATATTATATTTATGACAACTTTCTAGCTTGGCATTTCCAACTGCATGAGAACCACTTTCACAGATTGGTGTGTGGTTAGGTTTAACTAGAAAATACGTTACTATTCCTTCTTGTTAGCTATATCAGTAACTTTTCTAAAAGCAGTTTAATAGATTTTTCAACAGCATATGATCAATATTTCAAATTAAATCACAGGAACTCTGAAAAAAGATTGTTACTTGCCTTTCTGTGGTGTTTTCTCTAATATTTTTATCTTTTACAAATATTCACAAATATTAAATAAACAGGTCTGTAATGATAATGATATATAATGAATTAGAGCAGTCAAAGAAACAGAGTTCGGGGCAAAAGAGAGTTTTTTTAAATGATCAATTTTTAAGACACTCCAAATTTTTTATAATATTCAAATAGTAATATCACACAAAAGGACACGTATTGTATGATTGCACTTATGTGAGGTACTTTCATAGAGACTGAGGACAGAGGGGTAGTGGTCAGGGTGAAGGGGAGGTGGGAACGGAGAGTTATTTCATGGGTGCAGAGTTTCAGTTTGGGATGATGGAAAGGCTCTGGATGGTGGAGATGAATGCACTCAGTGGCAATGAACTGTATACCTAAAAATGGTTAAAATGGTCAATTTGATCTTACATATATTGTACCATGATAAAAAAAATAGTACCATCATTAATATCTAGGATCTAATGTTTCAACAATATAAAACCTTACTTAGAGCAGGGGAATTGTCAACTTACAATAATTCAGTTTTACAACAGGTCACATGCAAACATACCCACAATCAAGGTGATGCCCATGCTGAGGGAGCTGACCCATGCAGTCAGGCCGCGGCTCTGATGGAATTCCTCAAGCCATTCCACGTTGAGGACTCCCAGGGCCATCTGGGAGCCCATGATGAGGATGTGCACAAAGAAGGAGGAAAGAACCACCATCCAAGCCCATCCACTGTCAATGTTTGGGTGGGGCTTAAGTGTCTTCTTATCTTTGGGGTCATCTTCAAAATCATACCCGATATCTTCATGACTTGTATACATTTTCCACGATTTTCTGAAATACACATGACAAATAATTTCCTTGAATGTCAAACCAAAAGTAGCTTTCTCTTCTTTGGACAGTTCTACCTCCCCATCATAACCAAACTGGCCTTCAGAATCATCTTGTCATCATGCAGATTTGGGAACACTCCTGACTCTTTTACTGCCAAGCGCTTTTGTGAAACCTGTTTCATCTCTACAGTCATCCTATCTATGAGCATTATTATTCACATTTTAAAGAAATGGAAATAGACTCAAAGAAAGAAGTGCCTTTCCCAAGTTCTCATGGCCGGGAAGTATGGCTACCCAGGAACCTAAGGAATCAAACCCAGCTATTCCTGACTCCAAAGCCCATGCCTTGTGTCCATTATTGAGATGGATACTGACAGGTGACAACAAAGAAGACAGTTGGCTCTAAACAGTCTTTCAGGGTAGCTTTGCCTTGGTAGAGCTCTTGACAGAGCATCTGGTCCTCATTTTGTGGGTCCAAGCATTGAGTTTGTTCAGTACAGCAGAGTGGATTTGCCTCAGAAGACCAATTCATATGAACCCAACTCAGGAGAGACTGGTAAACTAGAAGGCCAATTTATTTATTTATTTTTACAATGGGAGCTAGAGCTTTCTAATAATGGTGATACTCAGGTCTGATGCACAAGACACAAAAAAGAGGCTTGGGGGCTGGATGGAGCTGGAGGGGGGTGGTGATGCCAGGTCAGGGCAGGACTCTGGTTTCATTTTTATTTCTTAGGATGAGAATTAAGTACATGTATAAGAACTGAGGATAAGGAGTAAAAGAAGGACAGACAGAGACAGAGACAGTAATCCTGGAGGTGGTGGGACAGGAGGATTGGTCTTGATCAGGAGGAGCAGAGCAGAAGGTGAATGGAGATGATGATGCCAAGGAGTGGGATGAGAAGTTACACCCAATGGTCTAATTCTTGGATGAAGCAGGAAGTGAGGTCACTGGCTGAGAATGAAGAGGATGGTGGTTATGAAGGGCCCTCAACATTTGGGAAAATGCAAGAGACTGTTGCCCACAACGAGTGGAAATGACTGCCAGGCCGTTCTGAAGGTGGAGCTGAGCCCTGCAAGACAGCACCACAGAGCCATGGGCGTGCAGCAGCACCAAGGACAGAGCGCTGGGAGCCTGAGCATCATCATCAGAGGAGAACGTTAAAACAACAAACGACTACAAGCTGGTCAGCTTTTTATTACGATCACTATGTGCCAGCAAATCTGGGCAACGTCACTGATAAAATACTCTTCTTCCGAAAAAATCTTTTGCTGCTCTAAGTTGCGATGATGTTTTAATTTTCTATCTGTAAGCTTCAAACCAGCGTGGTGCTATTACTTATCCTCTCATAAACACTGTATTATCCTTGGGAGTTATTTCAGAGAACTCTCGGTTCTGCAGTTGACCCCGACACCCATGAGGCCCCAGCTACACACATGTGCTTTGGGAGTAAGTTCCCAGGAGTTGAGAATTATTGGAAGTCTCTGTGGCACAATTTGGTCCGCAGCCCCCAAGGTGTCACATGTCCCCACCTTCAGCAGGACGTTCAAGATTGACGAACAGCACAGTTACTGTAGAGACGAAGAACCAGAACTTGACTTCTTCACTTCTGTCACTCTGCATGCCTACCTGGAGATTTTATTTTGTTTAACATGTAAAATAGCGAAACAGTGCAAGACTGTGAGGTGAAAACGTTTCGTTTGGAAAGGGAAGTGTGCAGTTAATACAGGCAATGTTTTACTCAACTGGAATAATGTCTTCAAAATAGAAATCTGTTCTTTTTTCAATTAATTATTTTGAAAACAGAAGAAAAAATAAGAAAATATTGATTATTACGAACCCACTACATGGTTGTTACTGAAAATCATGTCATTGCAATGGAGGAAGGAGGTCTAAAAAATAATCCCAAATACATGAGGATCCCCTCCAATGGTGGGGTTTTTCTCAGCAGTGTTCTGGTGTGGACAGGTTGGGGGATGGGCAGAGAAGTGGATTGCGGTGGACTGCACAGTGCGAGGACCACAGCCTCTTTCTGTACACCCCCGAGCTAAGAATTGTTTTTACCTTCTTTAAAGGCTATGTGGTCCATGAAACTTAAAATGCTTACTCTCTGACCCTTCATAGGAAAAGCTGGCTGATCCCTGGACTGTACCATTGGTTCTGGCTATGAATTTGTTGGGAAGAAATGGGCACCGGGGACCCAAGGATGCCAGTGGAAGAGCAGTTTAATGGATCTGTCCTGGGGCTCATCCTGACTTTCCCCTTCTCTCACACCTGTCCTCATTATTATTTTTATCTTTTAAATGGTTTTATGTCCTAAACAGCCATCCAATTCTCAACCACTATACTTCCTGCCCATGTCGCTCTTCTCTGCCTGGGTCCTTTTCCACCTCCCTGTTCTGCAGTCATCTGGGAGGGATAAAATGCTATCTTGCCATGTGATTTATTCACACTGTCAAGATATCTTTAGGATCAAGCCCAAACTCCCCTTTGCCACTGCCAGGTTCTCCACAGATTATCTGCCCCCCTGGTCCCTGTGCTCCAGCCCTGCTAAAGCACTTACAGCTCCTTGACCTTGGCACAGTGTCTTAAGCTTTGGGGCATGACCTTCTCTTCTTCTCTCTTTTGGGAACACACTTCTCTCCTTCTAACCTCCCGCTCCTCCTTCAAGATTCAGCTAAATATAGTAGTGAAACCTTGACACGGTGAGAACCCTCCACCCCTGTAAACATCTCTAATCTCCAACAGTAGAGTATGTGTTCAATCAATCAATCATTGTACAAGGTTGTTTGAAGACATGGAAAGAAGGTGTGAATTATACACGGGAGTGCTACAAAATTGGATGTGTGCAATAATCCCTTCATTGTTTTTGTTAAGAATAGGTATCCATTCACTCCAAGATTGAAGTGAAACAAAAATTGTAAGGGGGATTATTCTTTGGATGATGGTCTTAAAGTAATTTTCCTCCTTTTAATTGACCTTGTTCATAAAAAAAATCGTAATAAATACGTATTAACTTTATAATAACAAAATAAAAGTCCCTCTATCTTTTAAACATCATCTGGATCAGCTTTTTGTCTCTGGTAGATGAGTGGCTGAATTGTAAAAAAGAAGGAAGATGATTCAAGAGCCACTTCCCAGGGTAAGTCTAGCCTGCCACTACCCTGCTCTCCCCCAGCAAGAGAATAGCCTGCCTGGGGACAGAAAGTGATGGGGCGGCCCTTGATTTCCAGAGCTCGAAGCCCAGAAAAGAGCTGCATTGGCAGAAGGCCCAGAGGATAAACCTACAGGGA